CGAAATTTAGCTCAATTGAGGGGGCCTTTCCACTATTGTGTGCAGGCGAAATTTAGCTCAATTGAGGGGACCATTACTAATCACGAGCTCACATTATGTCCTTTGGACGAAGCTCATTGGAGGTAAAGGTTCAGGGACTTGGGGCTCACGATAGGACTGAGAGTTCAGGGCTTAGCTCTTGAATTAGCGTCTTAGGGCCTTGCATTTTGCGGGTGTACCCTAGACACTGTTGGGTGTAATCAGTTTTCAGGGGGAGGTCAAACTGTGTGAAGCGGGGACTTTCCGCGGCCGGCCGGACAGATCCTGTGATTTTGTTTTCCACTGAGGTTGTGATGAGGGCTTAGCCCTTAAGTACAGGTTGGGAAAGTTTTTCAAGGTCACCCTAACCTAGCCATGCAGGACACTCCGGAGCGGGATCCTTCTTCGCACGTGCGAGGTTCATGAAATTAAGATGACCACTTGCCATCGAAATTGTACATCGCAAACCCTCAAGTCCTCAGTTTGGGGCTTAGGTTGTAGGCCTTCAGGTGCCGGGCTCCGGATTGACGCAGTATCGGCCTCATGTCTATACTAGGGGAGCCGTTAATAAGATGCTCAGAAACAGCTAAAATCACGAGGGCACGCTAGGATATCCACCCTGAGACCTCAACCCTAACATCCCGCCGTAGGACTCCAAACCTAACATCTCAAACCTAATACCTACGTACAAATCTCAACCCACAGTACCATTCTAGGTATACTCCCAACAAGATACCCAGGTGTCATAGCCTAAATAGGCAGGGGGGTCGTGCAGAATTTGGGTCGGGTTTGATGTTCAGAGTCGTGCAACACAACTACCACAAAAACAGTCCTGATTGAGGCCCATGCACAGAATCTTGGAGATTTGTTTTGTTTTGAGTTCTTGGAATGGACTTAGCAGGGAGACGACGCTTACGATTTTGTTCCTCGTGCTCGTGTCCTTGTCGGTGCATGGCCCAGCTTCATTGAAGCTTCAACTGGGCGATTCTCCTTGGCAATGCAGCAGGTTGTCTTATTTCATCTTATTTCTCTGACCGCTCCTGCTGCCTGTTGATAAGTCCGAAGGCTCGTCAGGCATTCCATGCCTCGACGCTGTGTCGGTCAGTGTTGTAAGTGCCTTCGTGCACGGTTCGCCAGGTGCAGCTGCTTAGTGCACGGACATTTTCCTAATCATTCAGAGCCCCTTCTTATGTTATAAGTTATAAGTCTATTAGGGACCTCCCATGACCGGCATCTCTTACACCCGAACTCTTCAACGCAACAAGGCAAGACTCAACACCCCTGAGTAATGCAGACCCCTGACTCATGAATCCCGTCGACCTTAACAGGGACTACAGCCCAAAGGGTCAGCCATAAACTCTGCATCCCAAAGCCTGTGGCATCCCAAGCCCTGAAATCCGGAACCTGCCACAAGCTCTTGACTCTCAGATCCTTCACCCTCTGATCCCAAGCATTCGCTTCCCGCAGTTCCTCTCTGCGCCCGCCCGGCGCGACTCTTGGCATGCGCCTGCCAGTCTGAAGGCCCGATTTGGGGCAACAGGGCGCTTGACTTCAGAATTGTGTTTTTGTTTGGGGGTTTTCTACGCAAAGGCCATCGGGTTTGTTCATGCTTTTTTTGGGTGATACTCCGTGTCATTATATAGTGGCTCATTCAGACCACTGCTCTCCATTATGGCATGCTGAGTTTGGTGGGGTTTACGGTTCCGTGGTTCGCTGCCTCAACAGATCGGTTGAACCCTAACAACCGAACACAGGCGCGAACAACAACCGAATAGCTGTCTAGTAGGGATAGGTGCTTGGTAGTTAATACTATTCCTTGGGGTTCGTTTTAGACCCCATGAACCTTGACCCAGCAGTCCCACACTCGTTACCTTGCATCTTAAGGCTCCCAATTCTCCCACAAGTTACCCGACACGTAGTTTCGACAGGTTTGGGGAAACATCCGGGCACGAAAGTGCACGCCCATGCTCCCGCTATCTTTGTCGTGCTTGTGTATTTACTGTCTGGAAAAACCAAAAACTCGGAAATTTAATGTGGCCTGACCTGATAGCCTGAACACCTAGTTGGTATGTTAGACCTGGGCTTGAGTGTGCAAGCCTCCTTCGGGAGGCCTTCACTGTTCTCTGTGGCCATACTGCCGTCTTCCCTGAACTCCGAGACCACAGGTTTCAGTGCAAACTTGAATCCTGAGCCTTCATTAGACCCTCCCCGAGCCTCAAGCGCCCCAAAACCCCGAGATCGCACAGCCCATCCTAAACCTTTCAGCCCGCTTCTATTGTAGCTCTAAATCTCGAATCCCTGCGGCTAACAGGAGAACCAGCTCCTGCGAGTGACCAACGATGATCTCCAGGCCATTGCCCAATGCAGGGGTCATATTCCTGAGGGTCCACGAATGTACTAGTATACTTATGGTATGATATAATACCCGGCAATATGTTAGTGAGACTTTAGGGTTTGGGGCTTATAGGTTCGAGGGTTTAGGTTCTATGTCTTGAGGTCGAGTCCAAATCGTCGGGCCTCGAAACGCAGGGCAATGGTTGGAAGTAGTGGTAGTATTCATAGTAGTCGTAGTTCAGTCTTAGTAGCTATGGCAATCATATTGCTCGACGACCTACACTCTTTATAGCCAAGATCGAAACCACCCGAGCCGTGCACGACGATTTACAGCAAAATTAGTGCAGGATGGGCCCTGACCCTGGCCAGATATGTTGTATTGTATATACTGTATGTTATATAGTGTTTGTTCTATACTGTTTCTAAGATTTAATGTATTTTAATATATATATATATATACACATACACATAAAGAATATATATATATAATATGTATGTATGTATGTATGCATGTATGTATGTATGTATGTATGTATGTATGTATGTATGTATTTATGTAACCTATTGGCAATACCCCATGCAAACTGTCAGTCATAGTGGTGAGGATGCCGCTTATGATCACCAACCCCACCGCGGCACACTGAACCCCGAACCCTCTCAGTGTCGAAGGCCAAAACAGGACTGAACTCGTCAGAAGTTTTAGGGAAACAGGGTGGAGACCCTGGCCAAACCCGTGCTCACGTCCCTTCGCATTGAGGGACCGAGAAGCCACGTCCCAAGTCCCAAGCACGAGGCGAGAACCCGGTAGATCCAGAGATCCAGAACCCTGTGCGGCCCAGTACCCGAAATCGCGAAGCCGAAGCCCCGAATCCACAAACCGCAAGGTCTCCGCAAGTCAATCTGATTTTCAAGAAACCGCAATAACAAGCTCGACAACCATGTAGGGGCCTAAATAATTGAATAAGTACCGATACAATATGTGGGCTCCTTATTAGAATTCCAGTTCTTTTCTCTTCTCCTCAGGCCTACCCAATGTACAGGGAGAGGTCGCAACCTCAATATACCTCAACTCCAGACACCGTCCCCAAACCTGTCAATCCCAAAGGACGGGTTCGAAATGTGGTTAATCATCTAAAATACGGTATGATACTATATGCGTAAATTATATATACATATCTATCTATCTATCTATCTATCTATCTATCTATCTACATATGTATAGACATACTCACGTTTGATTTATGGCTTTGTTCGTACTTATCTTTAGATGGGTTGCCCTTAAAGCAAGGAAGCCTGCCTCCGTGGCGACCTGGGATTGGTCAAGCGGCTCATCAATGCGCGAGCCTCCGCCAGGGCCCCGAGCGCCAAGACAAAAGAGGGACCCCTAAATGTGAAGTGGGTATGTTCCTCAGGTATCGGCTATGGGCTCACTCGGCTGACAGTTAGAGTGCAGGAAACTGCGGGATTGATGCGTGGCACGATGAAGACTGTTGCAACATGAATGGTGACCTGACGAGTTTTAGGACTTTGATGGCTTGGGGATTCGGGGCTCAGCGTTTACGCGCTGGTGTGATGACTGCTGCGACAGGACCGTTCAGAGGATACTGTAGCATATCCGGGCGAAGTGCAACTAATACAGTGCCTGAATTAGGTTTCCGGTTTACGGTTCAGGGGTTGAGGGTTTAACGGATGGGTAGAACAGGGTTCCTGTGACGGGCTTCTGTCACGCTCTATCTTAGTTTTGCGAGTTTAGTCATGTTTTGCAGGGTGTCAGATTTTGACCTTAAGAATTAGAAACGAATTCTTTAGGGTTCTATGAGAGTTATGGGGGGTTGATCGTGTTTTGTAGGGTGTATTTTCGGGCCGAGGGTGTTTATGGTGGTTTGCAGGGCGTTTAGGGGCCTTGACAGTTAGAGGATTCTATGAATGGTATAGAAGGCTTACAATTTTGTAGGGCACAATGCAGGGCCTTTGTTAGTTGGAAAAAGGCTGGAGGGTATGTTCGACTGTAATTATACCCGGAACCCTAAGGAAGACTGTTAGGGCTTTCTGCTCGGCATATCTGTGCTGCAAAGGTCAAGGCTTGTACATCTGCAGGCTTCCGAAAGTGCATCCGAGACAGGACGGCAGTTCCTAGCCCCCTCAACCCGAACCACGCTTAAATGCGCTGTATACGGACACTCTACGCCCTAATAACTAACCTGCCGGAGTGGAAGCTCGAACCATACACCCACGAAGCCCAAGCCATTAAGCGCATGTGTCGGCCAAGGGTTCAGTCCCTTCGCAGACTCGTAAGCCCGTCACCCTTCCGTGAGACAATTGCGGCCCAGGGCTGTAGGGTAACAGACTAGCAAGAGAGGTTTATGTTGTAGTCTGAAAGCTCTTTATTGCACTAACCGCCTTCGAGACTGGCAACAGAGATCCTCCAACCTGCATCCGACCCGGGGACCGGTCGTCCTTCCGCCCTCCGAAAACCTAAATCTTACATCCAAAACCCCGAGTTTTCAACCGCCAGAACTCCTGCAAGGTAAATGCTCCGATCCGTCCACAGGATGCCGATGAATTTATGACTTTGCTGGAGCCTTGTGCCACAGGGCTGCTTGGGATAGGGTCTTCGATGTCCGGTCAAGGCCTCTAGTGCTTACAGTTTAGGGCCTTGGATTTTTGGCCTTTCAAGCAGTTGGAAACCAGGGTCTCAGTTGAGGTCTGACCCCAAGCCTATCCTAAAGCTCGAGGGTTTCGCTCTCGACCCTTTCTTCGTGAAACGCTGCTGCCATTCCCAAGATTGCATGTTGGGGGCGCGGTAAGTAGAGTTGTCATGGGGGGTTGTAGTTTGGGTAACTCAGACTGAAATAAGAGCTGTTCGTTTATGACACTATTTGACAAACCTCCCACCCACCCTCTGCGTTGGTGCCGGAATGTCGCGACGGTAGGGTTTTGAAGCCAACATTTTCATCTCGGTTCCGCGGAGGATCAGGACTTAGTAAGTCAGGTCATAAGTACCAACTTGGGGACATGAGCAATATTGAGTAGGCTTAACTTATCTTTAACAAGCCAGTGGATCCCAATTCAAACCTCTGAAGACCCGAAACCCTTAACCTGATATAACTCAACCCCAAATCGAACCTACTCACCCAGGTTGCACGTGCTTGCGAGGAAGCCCCACATGCCACTTGACATAAGCAGCTTTCTCTCTTGAAGTTCTGGGCGCATGAAGGCTTAAACCCAAAGCCCTCACCCCCAGGCCCTGAACCCTAAACCCTAAACTGTGTATTTGTGTGCACATCTTTATGTATTTATTAGATGTATGAATGTATGTATATATATATATATGTATTATGTGTATATCTATCCTAAGATTGGCAAGGCCTCTCTCTCATTTCCAGTAGCTGGCTGGACTGATCGGCGGTCCTTTTGATTCTGAGAAGAGTTGAGGAAGAGATGTTTGCAGGCGATACCGAGGTGTCGGTCCTCCACAGTACGGCCTTGGCCGAGGGACGGCCTTGGCCGAGGGACAAGTCACATATCATATAGGTCTGGATAACTATCAATGTATTATTCTTTTGAAGTTGCTGTACACCCCGATACCTGTTGAGGCCCCCCATCTGCGGCCGCGGGCCAACTACCTCAGTAAGGAATCCCGACAGGCCTCGTTCTCGATTCCTGGTAAGGCGATGCACAGGCATGTAGTCTCGTTGCTTCTAGCACCACAGGAGAAGGAAGACAAGTTTAGATCTAGACGGTCAGCCCTGAAGGGTTTTAGCCCGTTTACCCTAAACTCTTCACAGCCCAAAGAATCATGACATCCACGTGTAGCCCTTTCAAGGGACACCTCATATCGGTCTGAAGCCTTTGATGCCTCCAGAACTCCGACAAACTGCAAGATTAATTGAAAGGCGTTCTCACGCAGATCAGCTGTCCCATCACAGAAGGCCCTGCTACAGCCGGGACGGCTCACCTTCCCAGGCAGAACTGCAGTAGCATCATCGCAGAAATGGTCCGCAACAAGGCGAACCTCAATGTCAGGAGCGGCTTGTCCAAGGGCAAAGGGTTGGCATCTGCATTGAGCTGTCGGTGCAGGGGCATCAAATGCTGAAGCTCCACCTTCAGCGAAACTTCGAGCCAGCAGGAATCAGGGTTTTAGAAGTAAGTAGAAAAGGACTCAGAGGAGATATTGGTATGTAGATTTAGATATTCTGATACTGGGTAAGGTCAAAAAGGGGATGTACCTTATTTAGCAGACCTTGAAATGAGGATCCTAACCTTTAGGGTCTGTATTGCATCATGATCCTACTAGTTAATTTTGGCTCTGCACTCTAGGATCCCATTATTTAGCGTCTGTATTACAGGGTCCGATTATATGGGGTCTGTATTAAACATGTCCGACTAGTAGGCGCTGTATTCTAGGATCCTATCATTTAGGGTCTGTGTGATAGGATCCTACTATTTCCGGTCTGCACCACTGCACGATTCGCATTATAGAGCCCATTGTAGTAAACCGTGTACCCTTTCTACAGCCCTTTTGGGAACCCTGCCTCGCTTGTTCCCGTTGCAGTTCGCCTCCGAAGCCCTGAACAAGCGAAAGCCCAGAGAGCCTCAAGGACCTGAAACAAAGCCTTGAGGCGTGGTTCCAGAGCATCCGAAAGAACTAGTATGGATTTAGGGTCTCGGGTTTATGATAGAAGGTTTAGGGTTTAGGATAAAGGGTGTAGAGCCTAAGATAATGCCTCAACCTTCGGAGGAGCTCTTTCGGAACAACTCCGCTGAGTCTTGCCTGTCACTCAAAGCACACGGAGGCGGTGGAGGCAGGGTGGGAGGGTTCAGGCGTGCAACAACATCAGGCCGGAGCAATAACAATACTATTCCGTAGGAGTCCTTATTGCAGTACAGTATACCCCGAAGCCCTACTCTAAATCATTGAGGCCCCATCTACGGCTAGCCACAACCTGCCGGTGTCGGAACTCAGCCCACACTCCCGCCCGCCGACAGTATGAGCATGAGAACCATGATCTTTCTTATGTCGGTACCGACGACGAGCATCGTTGCTATCATCAGTCATGATGGCTTATACCCAAAAACGTGCCCTGAAGAAACCCCTTTAAAAAACTCTCTTGGATCCTTTCTGCGTGGCTCCACGTTCTCAGGTTTTGCTCCGCGCGAAGGCCTCCGCCGATCCGATCGACGACTATGGGAAGAAGGCGGACTTGTAGGGCTCAGAGCTTAGGGCGTTATATAGAAACGTAGTATTTAGTGGTGCTGTTTAGTCCTTACATAGTTATGCGACAAAGCGATCGCAAACAAGACCTTATTCTATTTATCAGGGCCGCTATATGGTTGAGTTGCTTACAGAGAGTTTATAGGGTTTTACAGGGCTGATGTGGCTTGCAAGGTTTATCTTATTTATGGGGTTGCAGGGCCGTTCTTGCTCTGATGTGGGCTTGTTGGCCTACTGGGGGTTGAGGGCTCACGGGGCTTGTAGAAGTCGCAGGGCTTATCAGGCTTATGGGCTTGTAGGGCTTATAAGGTTTTGTAGGGTATTGGGGTAAAGGCTCAAGTAGCTTCGGGCCTACCGGGGTTTGTAGGTCCTATAGAGATTACAGAGAATAAAGGGCTTGTGGGTTTGTAATATTTGTAGGGTTTGTTGGGGCTCGAGGGCTGAACGGGTTTCTGATTTTGTTTGTGTGGCGTACCGAGATTACACCATTGAAAACATGTTCAGGTGCGTAGTTACCGTAGTAGGAGCCTTATGAAAGGCCAATATTATACCTTACAAAGCCTTATAGAAGCCCTATATACCCTAAACTCCCCACCTGTGGTTTCCTTTAACTTGGGTAGACATAAACTGTTCTCTGTTGAATCCCATGTGTGTGTGTGTGTTTAGAAATCAATATAAATATAAATATAAATATAAATATAAATAAGTAAATAAATAAATAAATAAATAAATAAATATATATATATATATATATGTGCGTTTAGCATCTGGGCCTGAACACGTAGTACTAAGGTTTCGTTTTCATCCTTATATACTTGCAGCAAAAGAAAGCCAAAGCCCAACCCTAACTGCTCAGGTTTCAAAGACCTTATTCAATCCGCACAAAACGCTGCAAAGCCTCCTTTGAAACCTCATAAACGCCTGTTCTGCTTCTTTTTGCTCCCATATTAGATGTTCATGCTGGTTCCAGGTTGCTTGTGGAATCTAGTCGTAGCGTCCCGAGATGTGTTGGCAGTAGTAGGTGGTCGTGGTGGCAGTCGTCGTCGTCGTCGTAGTCGCAGTGGTAGTAGTAGTAGTAGTAGTAGTAGTAGTAGTAGTGCAGTCGTAGTCGTATTCGTAGTGGTTGTGGTTGTGGTAGTTGTTGCTGTACTTGGGGAGTAGTAGTAGTAGTAGTAGTAGTAGTAGTAGTAGTAGTAGGCGCCCCCCCCCCCCCTACCAACTACACTTGCTTAAAACCATGTTAAGAGCACATCCGTTT